CTTTAGTGACATTTGCATTACATATATTGTATTAGCATTGTTGTTTGAACAAGTACTTATACATAATTTGGTGAATATTTGAATCCTTGTTTTGATAATTGTATTTGCATCATGTAGTGAATATTTGAATTATGGTATGGCATTTGCATTATTGTTTAGGACATGTATTTGCATCATTTAGTGAAATCTTGATTGTTGCTTTTGCATCATTTAGAAGCCATTTGCATTATTATCATGACATTTATCACATTTTAAGATTTTGACTTTGGTGGGATAAAATCTTTGACTTTTGAATCTTTGAATGAAAAAGATCTTTCATGATGAGATTTTTTTTTGGACAAGAAAAACATTCCAAACTTTTAAAGTTATAAAGCCTTTGTTTAAAGAAGTTTTTTTTTCAAAAAATAGTCATGATTTTATAAGACATTTGCGTATAATCACTAAAGTTTTTCAAATGAGAATTTTTGAAAATTTGATTGCGAAACCCTCAAAAAATACCCTAAAATTTTTTGAACGAGAACATTTGAAATTTTGGATGTGAATCTTTAAAGTTTTTAAATGTGAATCTTTGATATTTCGGGTGTAAATCTCTAAAATTTTCAAATGAGAATCTTTGAATTATGGATATAAGACCTTGAAATCTTTGATGTGAATCTATGAAATTTTCAAATATAAAATTTTAAATGTGAATCACTAACAAAAGTTTTTTGAATGCCAATTTTTGAATCTTGTATGTGATTTAGAAATTTTCAATAGAGATTTCTAAAAAAGTACAATTGCAAATCTTTACAATGACGAAGTTGAAATTCTTGCGAACCTAAAATTCTTACAAAATTTTGAATTCTTACAAAGCTGAAATTCTTACAAATATTTGAATTCTAACGAATCTAAAAGTCTTAAATCTTTAAAGTCTTGTGAATTTTTAAAATTATTGCAAAATTGAATTTCTTGTGAATCTGAAAGACTTGTAAATCTTTCAAGTCTTGCTAATCTTTGAATTCTTACAAACCTAAAATTCTTACAAATTTGAAGGTCTTGCAAAATTTTGAAGTCTTGCGAATCTTTGACATTATTACGAAACTGAAATTCTTATGAATCTAAAAGTCTTTTGAATTTTTGAAGTCTTACAAATCTTTAAATTCTTGTGAACCTGAATTTTTTGTAAATTTGAAAGTTTTGCAAATCTTTGAATTCTTGTGAACCTGAAATTCTTGCGAATCTGAAAGTCTTGCAAATCTTTGAATTCTTGTAAACCTAAAATTCTTGTGAATCTAAAATTCTTGTGAATCTAAAAGTTTTGCGAATCTTTAAATTCTTGCAAAAGTGAAATTCTTACGAATTTGGAATCTCTGCGATTCTTGAAACATTTATGAATCTCAAAATCTTTGCAATTTTAAAACCTCTGCGAAACTTGAAATCTTTATGAACATAAAATCTTTACGAATTTTTAATCTTTACAAATTTTGAAGTTTTTGTGAATCTTGAATCTTTGCGAATTTTGGAATCATTATGAATTTTGAATCTTGGAATCTTTCAATTCTTGTTATGAAACTTTGTGAATCTTTAAAGCTTTGTGAGCCTTTGAATTTAATGACTAACCCATGAATTTTCAAATTGAGAATCTTTAGATTTCAAGTTAAAAATTTTAGTTTTTCTAGACCCGAATAAAATGGATGTCTTTTGATCTTTTTACAATTCTTGTTTTACAGAAAATATGTAAAAATGGGCAGCTGTAAATACTATATTTTATTCAAAAAAATTTTCAAAATAAAAAATGGGCTTTGATCACAAATTGGGTCTTAATATGAAAAATGAATTTAGAGCCCAAGAATTAAATGCCCAAAAATTTTAATTTTAATTTTAATTTTGGTTTTAGTTTTAATTTTGGTTTTAATTTGATTTTAGTTTTAATTTTGATTTTGGTTTTTAACTTTAGGTTTTATTTTTAGTCAAAGAGTCAAAAAGTAAAAAAAAAAAAAATTAGAAAACCAAATGAAAAAGGAAATGAGAATTTTGCGGGAAAATCCTAGATTCAATATTCAGAATTTAATTCTTGATTCTTAAGTCATTGAAAAAGGGAAGATTGCAAAAGAAATAAAATCATAAAAAATTAATTTGCAAAAATCAAATCAAATCATGGATTTGGTGGAATTGATTTTTTTCCCAAAATGAAAAAAGCATGAGTCCCTATATAAAAGATTCAAATCTCCTATCAAGGGGGAACAAACAACAAGCATACATAGAAACCAATATCAAGCAATTCAAAGCAAGTAAAAGTTTCGATTGGTTTTATATATATATATATATATATATATATTCTAGGTTGGTTTTTTGTGAAATTTTTGGATTTATTTGAGGATTTTAGTTTTCTAGTATTTTGATTTGGTTTGAATGGGAACTCTGTTTAATTTCAACAGTTGGGGATTTTTTTTCTAATTTTTAGGTTTTTTGTTTGAATTTTGGATAGTGAAAATTTTTTAGAGCTCTAAGAATTTTTGGTTAAATTTTGGGCTTTTTAGGTTGGATTTGAATTTTGGGTAATTCCTTGGTTTTGTATGAATTTTTCAGTTGAAATTTGAATTTTTTGATAGGTATCAAGGTGGTTAAAGGAATTTGCAGTGGTCGTTTTCTAGGTTTGTAGGGTTTTTTGGTTGGCTTGAATTTTTTGACACCTTTTGAATTTTTTGATGTCGAAATTTGGGGATTAACCTGTTTTTAGAGAAAGCTGAAGTTTTTAGTAGAGGTTTTTAAAGATAGATCAGAGCATTTTAGGGTTAGAAAGAGAAAGAGTTTGGTGTTTATAAGGAAAGTCAAAGTTTTTTTGCTTTTTATATTGAGCTAAAACGATGTCATTTTGAAGAGCCTTTGACCCACGTGTGACTCGATGACCTGCATGAAGATTCATGCACCAACCCAACCCGAACACAGGTTTTCTCTTTTCTTTTGCCTTTCATTTTTTATTTTTATTTTGATTTCATTATTTTATTATTTATTATTTAATCTTTTTATTATTTCTTTAATTTTTTAATTTTCTGCTTATTATTTTAAATTGTTGATTAAATTAATTTGGTGAGAAAAAAGAAAAAGAAAAAATAGTTTATTTTTGCATGATACTTTTATGAATATAGTTTTTTTTTAAAGGTGTTTTCAAAAATAAATTTATGAGGCTTATCAAACTATTAGAGAATTTTTCATGAATTTAAATTTTTTTATGAATTTTACTAAACTATTGAAGAATTTCATAACCTAATTTTTGTGAAAAAAATAGTTTGTGTAAAATCCTACCAACATATTGGAGGATAATCTTTGACAGAAAATCTTACCAACATATCAAAAGATATTTTTTGAATATAAATGGTTTTTTATAGAAATTAGATTTTAAATTTCTAAAGATATAATTATTAATAGCGTTGCAAATAACAATTTCCATGTAAATTCTTAGGTGAAAAAATCTTTTCTTAATTTTACTAACATATTGGAGAATTTAAATAAGAACTTTTGATACCAAGATTATAAATCTTGTTATCATAAATAAAAGTTTTTACAAAAATTAAATGAATTCAATGATTAAACTTCTTCAGAGTGAGATATTAGTATCCAAGAATACTCCTAAATTGAGGAAATTATCTTAAATTGCTACCAAACTATTAAAATAATTTTAAGATCAAGTTCTAATAATTAAACTATTTAGTAAACTATAAAGATGTTTTAAGACTTGGTTAACTAAAAATCAAATTGGAACCATAATTTGGATATGTGATGTGAGGGTGCTATAATCTTCTTCATACATAACCACACTCCTGAATCTAAATTTAGTTTTGTAGACTAGAATCTATCATTTAAAGATACTTAAGTTAAGTTTATGATTCCTCTTTAAAATAGGATAAATTCAATTAGATGGTCAATCACACATAAACAAAAAATATTGTTGACGACTCTTTAAATTGATATATAGTGATAAATCCACAGATCTATATATTATAACAAAATTTAATTAATTAATATTTTTGTAAATATATAAAAAATAGCTAAAATTTAAAAAACAAATAAGTAAGATAAACAAGTGGGACAAAGTGTAAAATTCATATCATTTGACATAAAATGGATAAAAAGTGTCATAACACACTAAAAAATAGGTATAACAATTCGAAACTTACTGTAATATAAGAACAATTGTATGAAAATATTATTGTAACATAATAATTAAGTTGATAGCGTAAAATTTTAATCATGTAAATATATAAGAAAAATATCTAATAAATAATAATAAAAAAAGGTAACTTAAACATCAGAGAGAAAATATAAAATTCATATCATTTAACGTAAAATATGTAAAAAGTGTCTTAGCATAATAAAAAAGAGTTTGCCAATTCTAAACATAATAAAAAGTAAAAATAACTGAAAAAAATATTTTTGTAACATAAATAATTAACTAAGTAACATAATATTTTAATTAATTATTATTTTCGTAAATATATAAGAAAAATAAGTAATAAATAATTAAAAAATTAATGTAAACACAATCGAGATATATGTAAATATTTCAAAAATATAATTTTAGTAAAACTTGCTTATCTCAATTGATTTATGCAATCATCGACATCAAACAAATTTGAATTTTAAATTTCAGCATCTGTAATATATATATATATATATATATATTTAAGAATCCAATTATTAGAATGTAAAACAGGCTTTTAATTGTGGTCACTTCAAATAGAGAATAGGGAAATAAATATATTTTATGATTAAGAAATAGTGTTTGCAAGGTTGAATTATCAAGAACATTATATGATTAGGACCAAAAGCATAAGTCAAAAGCCTAATTAATTTTTTTGTTCCCTTGTGTTTACGCTTTCTAGAATTCCTAAACGTTAGTATTGACTCTTTCAAAATCCTCCATATATGTTTTTCATACTCTTTGCTCAACTATAAATAACTCCCACTCTCAACCATATTTCTACATCAAACATAGTGCAATTAACATTGGTTGTGTGAAAATGTTATTTCCCAGTTATATGAGGAAGGGTCTGATAGCCATCGTTGTGGCAGGAATATTTCTTGCCGGCTCGGTATCGGTAAAGGCTCAATCAGTGGCTGATATAGTAACACCTGAGTTCTTTAATGGGATTTTGGATCAGGCAGAAGCAAGTTGTGAAGGGAAGAACTTTTACTCAAGGGCTGCATTTCTTGAGGCTTTCAATTCTTTCCCTCAGTTTGGTACAGCTGATGATACTAGGCGTGAGGTTGCAGCTTTCTTTGCTCATGTCACCCATGAGACTGGACGTAAGATCTCTCTCTTCCTCTCACAAACGTAAACAGAGTGCCGGGTTCTGATAATTTTTACATTAATTCCTCTAAGAACAGTTATGGATTTTTTTTCGAAACTGATTAAATAAGAAACTATTGACAGATTTATCAACTTTAAGATGAAAAAAATGTTCAAGAGAATTTTGAACATGTGCACGAGAAAATTTTCCTTTAAATTTTCTTCTTTTTCATTACTTCGCCATCTGAATCTGCCACTACATAAGAGTTAATCTAATTGGTAAAGAGATAAGTATTCCATAAATAATATTATGTGAATAGTTAAAATCGTGAATGCACCAATCAAATGTAAAAAAGTACACATTTAAAATCGTCCATCCAATAAAAAAATTAGGTCTACTGACCGCATTATTAAAAAAAAATTTTCATTACTTTACAGGAAAAAATTCAAGATTATGAGCAAGTTTGCATATAAACATTAACTTCAGTCATTTCACTTTCCTGATTTTCCTGCTTTTGTTTGTACAGATTTTTGCTACATAAATGAGATAAATGGTGCAACCAGCGATTACTGTAATGAGACCAATACCCAGTATCCATGCAACCCTGACAAAGATTACTATGGCCGTGGACCAATCCAACTATCCTGGAATTTCAACTATGGACCAGCTGGGGAGAGCATTGGTTTCGACGGCTTAAACTCGCCTGAAACTGTCGCCACAGACCCTGTTATCTCGTTCAAGACAGCATTGTGGCATTGGGTTAACTTTGTTCAACCTGTCATAGGTCAAGGCTTTGGGGCAACCATTCGTGCCATTAATGGGGCTATTGAATGCAATGGTGGAAGCCCTGATAGCGTTCAGGATCGGATTAACTACTATATTCAATATTGTAATCAGCTTGGCGTTGATTCCGGGCCCTCTCTCACCTGCTAGAATTTTACTTTTTAATTTCTTGTTTTCGTTACTTTAAATACTCCCCCAGAAAAAAATGTTCCGTGAAATGAAATAAATATCATAATTAAACATCAATAAACTACTTTGCCTTTAATTATCAATTTCTACATGATGTGTTTTTATGGCTAAAATATATTCCTCAAATTATTTTATTTTTTTAAAAAATAAATTCATATACTTTTATCATATTCAAATAAGTCTTTATTCTCTGATTTGTATTTAAATATATTCTTATTTCAAATGAAAAATTGATTTATGTTAAAAATTTATTTTAGATTTAAATAAAAAATTAATGACTTGAATGAAAATAAATTAAAGATTAAAAGTTTATTCAGTGCAAATTATAGATTAAAAACTTATTTGAAAGTGATAAAAATATATAAATTTAATTAAGTAAAGTGATAGCGATTAAGAGGTTTTTTGTTATTTTAACATTTTCTTTTCTTATTTAAAAAAAAATTTCTTTTTTAATCAAAGTTCATGTAATTTACTATTCAAAATTAATACCTATATTCCAAACAAGATACTCCAAGCCAAGCTCAAATCTTGAGATAGATATAATGATAGATTACTAATTCTTATAATGTAACACAAAGAAAAATATTATTTTGCTGTAATATGTCATTTATAAATTAGATGACTTATTAATTAATAAATTTAAACTGAGTTTATCCAAATACTACATGTCATATAAGAGAATACAAATATTTAAAACAAAATTGATGAGGCAAATAACATGACTCAAATTTTTATGTACCAAATAGTACTTCAAGTTTTATTATCCATCTTCATATCGATTATGCCATTAAGTCTTGTTTATAAAAATATATATATATTACATATGAATGTGTCTTTTGTAAATTTATTGAAAATTTTAATGTCTAACTTCATTAGGGTAGGAAACAAAATCTAAAGTTGTCATTTACAAAAAATGAAATGTTATAGTTAAAATACTAAAATAAGCCCTTATATCTCAAATTTCTCAAATAAACTCTTATCTTTTTATCATATCTAATTGAGCCCTTAAAATATTATTTTTTGTTTAAATTAAGACCTTATTGTACCTAAAACCCACTGAAATCCATTAGACAAAAGGGGTTGAATTAACTAAAAAATAGTACTTTAAGAGTTTAATTAATGAGAAAAAATATTTTAAAAGTTTAATTAGACAAAAGTTTAATTGGGTATGATAAAATGACAGGAGCTCATCTAGAAATTTTGAAAAAATATAAGGGTCTTTTTAGTCTTTTGGCCAAAATCATAAAGGGTGTTTTTCCCTATAAATTGATATTTACTTACAACAAAAACACACACAAATTAGTTCATATATATATATATATATATAGAGAGAGAGAGAGAGAGAGAGAGAGAGCATACTTTTCCCTTAATACATCTTCAAGAAGGGATGGCAACAATGAAAATGAACTCGGCCAAATCCTAATATAATTAAACGTTAAAAGAACTAACTTGATTTTACCTTAAACCTATTAAGAATGCCTATTAACAGCTACTAGGGTTTGGCAAATTAATTAGGCATTACTAATTGCCTTTAATTAAGATAGGTTCTACTTCTTAATCGTAGCATGCAAATTAATCATGCATGTTAGGATTTGGCAAATTTCCAGTTCATAAGTACCCATGCCATCCCTAGTTGTAGATCATATATTTATATATATATATATATATATATATTTTACATACATTAACTATCCTTCTATTTCACATCATAAGTTACTTTTTCTGTTTTATGAAATGCATGCATGTCTTAATCGTAATAAAAAAAATTTTTCATTTAAGTGTTCGTCTATTTCTTTTTGGGTGTAAATATATATTAATTGTTGAATTGGTACACATATATACATGTATAATTATATAAATACAAAAATTTTTTGTGTCACATATTAAAAATGATTATATGAATTATATGAGTTAAGTTTTGAATTTTTTTTACAATATATATATTTGACAAATTAATTTTGGTTGGTTGACTTTGACATTGGTAAACTTTTATGACTTTTTTAAAGGCAGAGGTTAGAATTGATCACTTTAGAGCTGGCTTCAAAGGCAATGCAAATGATTTTGACCAGAAAAATAAGCCACAGTCATCGATCTTCTCTTCTTTGTAAAGTCGACTAAATGGAATGACTTTTCCTAAAAATGAGGTGGGTATGGCTTTTTGATCCACTATTCTAAGTTTATAAAATAAAATAAAAATAAAATTATGTACTTCAATCAATTAATCGATGAAAAACAAAATTTAAAAACATTTCTAATTAAAAAAATAAATTTGAGAGAGTGGGTTTTAATTTAATTTGCTATATGAATTGCACATATTATAAAAATGGTGTAAGAAGCCGAATTTTAAATTTATAAATATTTACAATTATTTCAAATTCACAATTCCATAAAAATTAAACAAATTCATAAAACAAAAAATAAATAATAATCCTCAAAATTACATTAGCATATATACTTTATTACATACATTATATTAAATTTGAAGTTTTTTCTTTTAAATTCAATTAAATTGCAAAACATATTGCGTCAATTATTAATTTCTTTAAATTCTCTTAGATTTTTTTATAGATATAAAAAAAATTATAAATGTTAAAATTCGAATTTACAATTTATTAATAACATTTTTAACTAATATATGGGTTGGCTATTTTTAATTATTATATGAGTAGGTATTATAGCATGTTGGGTTTGTTTAAGGATATGGTTTGAATCATTCAAGGGAGCTCTTAACAATATTCATCACCAAGTCAAAGTCTGACTACTTGCCCCTTCTGGAAACACTACTGCATCTCAATTTTGACTTCCAAAGGCCACTATAGCAATTTGCCTCCCTGTCTTCTCACTCCCGCTGCTATATATAATTCTCACCCTTAACAATTTTTTCCATCAAACACAACTTACCTTCAACCTGACTCCAAATTTTTGTTCAAAAATGCTATTTCCCAATATGAAAAATGGTTTACTAGCCATTGTTCTGGCTGGAATTATTGCTGGAGCAGTGCCTGTAAGGGCTCAAAACTGTGGTTGTGCAGAAGGGCTGTGTTGTAGCCGATGGGGGTATTGTGGTACTGGCGATGATTACTGTGGCACGGGTTGCCAACAGGGGCCTTGTAATCCACCACCAACTTTAAACAATGTTTCAGTGGCTGATATTGTTACACCTGAATTCTTTAATGGCATTTTGGATGTGGCAGAAGATAGTTGTGAAGGGAAGAACTTTTACTCAAGAGCAGTATTTCTTGAAGCTCTCAATTCTTATCCCCAGTTTGGCAGGATTGGATCAATTGATGATTCCAAGCGTGAGATTGCAGCTTTCTTTGGACATGTCACGCATGAGACTGGACGTAAGAATCCCTTTCTTCCTCTCATAAACTTAAATTTGGAGACTATATCCGCTCTATTTTTTAAAGTATACATGTCCGATACATACCTGACAGCCATGGATATATATACAAAAACCTAAAAATTATTAGAAATTAATAGTGATTAAAAAACAAAATCTTTTTATCTATGCAGATTTTTGCTACATTGAAGAGATAAACGGTGCAACAAGGGACTACTGTGATGAGACCAATACCCAGTATCCATGCAACCCTGATAAAGGTTACTATGGCCGTGGACCAATCCAACTATCCTGGAATTATAACTATGGACCAGCCGGGGAGAGCATCGGCTTCGATGGACTAAACTCACCTGAAACCGTCGCCACAGACCCCGTTATCTCCTTCAAGACCGCCTTGTGGTACTGGGTGAACTCCGTTCAACCTGTCATAGGCCAAGGCTTCGGGGCAACTATTCGTGCCATTAACGGGGCTCTTGAGTGCGATGGTGGAAACCCTGCCACAGTTCAGAGACGGATTGAGTACTATACCGATTATTGTAACCAGCTTGGTGTTGATCCTGGGCCAAATCTAACCTGCTAGAATTCATTTTTTGTCATTTGCACCCTTCTTTTTCCTATGAATTTCAATTTCAGTTATGTTTTTCTTGTTTTGGTTACTTGGGGTACGGTTGAAATAAAATACTATATGTAATCATATTGGATCGTCTATTATATATGGAAAACTCTGACTCAGATAACTTGGGCAATCCTTTTAACATACTGATTGCAGTTTCATAAAATAGTCATGTAGATGACCTCATTTTTGGCACATGGTCTAGATCTTCTAAAAGGCCAAGTTGTGGATGCTGACAACTAAATTAGACATATCGATCGATGTTGAAGGCCCAAATTAAATTTCAGATATATCAATTGAAGTCTTTACATGAAAAATTCTCTTGAAATTTTTCTCAAACTGAAGCCCAAACCAGATGCTTGTGCCTAGATTGTATCTTGTGAATTTAATGTCATCCCTCTGGTTGAAATAGGGAGCCCTTGGAGATTTGAGAGCATAAATTTCCATATACTTGTACGGCCTTTTAATCCTCACCCTGTATGCCTCTCTATTTCCTCTGCAGCTTCCCGATTAATTAAATCTAGTAATTTAAATTACAAAATTGTAATATGATAAAAAAATATAAATGTGACATAAATTAAAATTTATTAAAACTTATATATGGTATTAATAAAAGCAAAAATATATATATTGTGTTATTTGTCTTGTTACAAATTGTGAAATATACTTTTCGTGTAAAATACGTTATGATCAATATTTTACATTACACAAATACATGAATTGTCAAATCTATAATTAATAATATTATAGATACCTGCTTCTATGAGGCACAGGAGTTTCTAAACTGGTGTAAAGATCAATGTTGAAGTGATCTCTTCTTGAACAAACATTTTAGTCTAGTCCTTCTAACCCTGTTTCTGGATTGGTTTCTTGAAATTGTCTAATTTAGCTTTGAAGAACTGCATAAATTGTAGTGTTCTATTAACCAAAATATCGAAGGATGATCTGTAATCGAAAATTTAACAAAACCAAAGGCAGATTGGATCCGACTCATTTCCCTGCAGTTGTCTCGAACTCACCTAGCTGGCTCGTGGAAACTATCTTGCATCAAAAAGAGGTGTCTTTCAACAGTCCAAAGAAATTAAAAAGGTGCTCGAAGGACAGTTGAACACTTTTGTTTGTATTCGAATTTGCACAAGTAATTACCATTGCTAACTGCATGGACGAAAAGGTCTTGATCTGCAATGGTGTATCTGCCATTTATGAAGAAGTTTGCCTTGGTCGCTCGTTTTCCAACGGCCAATGTCTTTCCAATTTCGAAAACAGTAAGTTGGAGGAACACGAACCAGCCTATATTTCATGAGAAATTAACTCATTAACTCCAAAGCTCGCTCCCCCAACTCCTCTAATGGCCCAAAAATGATCTTCCCACGGATTTTCTGTCAAGAAATTTTCCATTAATGTCAATCATTTTTTTAAACCATATTTTCTAAATATGGTGCCAAAGCCACCATTGACGTGTCCCTCCACACCTACACAGCTGGGCACCAGCCCGCATGAACATATCCACAACATTACTTGAGCCAGCAATGCGTACTGATTTTCAACGTTGGAATTGATAGATTAGATTGGTTTTTAATTAAAAAAAAGTCATAACCCCAAAGAAAAGGGATATAGGTATTGAAATTTCACTCTTTGAATGTCACCTCTAAAATTATATAAATTATGTTGGGAAAAACAACACCCACACGCAGCAATCATACACAAAACAACAAGTTCAAATCAAGAATAAGAACACACAAATATATTTGATTCGGCCCAACTCAAAATGGCCTACTCCAAACCTAATTCACTATCAAATAAATCTTTACAACTGTAAGACTTTTAGAATGAAAAAAATCTCCTAAAACTCCTTACTCAAAACTTAACCCAAAATCCAATTACACCCTTTTAATAACCTACTCACTTAGCTATTCTCTTGGTGCCTAACTCTCTGGGATTACTAAACCAAAAACAAAACATCATATTTATAAATATGAAACCCCTTATACATTTACTAAACTCTCGATGTGGGATACAAGACAAACTCAAACTCACTTAACTTTCGATGTGGGATTTTGATATTCAAGGCAAATCCCAACAAATCCTCCATTGACTTGAATCTCCAAACACTTCAACAGTATCTGCAAAGCTAACACGTTTAGCTTTCTTCTTTTCTTTCATCATAGGGATCCCAGCAATTGAGCCTTCATCAAGCATGTACAAGTGATTTTTGACTCTATTCCCTTGTAGAATCACACTACCATTCTTGTATACTTTCAACCAATCATTACTACCATAATGTGTACCTCCGAGAAGCTAACTCACCCAAAACAATTAAATTGTAGTGACAACTTTGTACATACCTTACATGATGAAGTGTCCTAATAACACCATTGTGAGATCTAAGGCGAACACTCCCAATGCCTTGAATCTGCACCTTTTCTTTGTTAGCAACCACAATATCCCCATACTTTTCATTCTCATCTGACTCTACAAAACAACTCCTATCATTGCAAACATGAACTGTAGCAGCTGAATCTAAAACCCAACCTTTTATCACTTTTCAAAGTCTGAGTCTCATCTACACAAGTTGTCAAAACAACATTATCATCATCAGACACGACAGCAGCAGTATCACTCTTTTTTTCACTTGATTTTTTCTCATCATTCGTCCTTTTAAAAGCAACCATACCCTTTCTCAGCTTCCTTCAGCGCACTTGGATATGTCTATTTTCACCATAATAATAATATTCTATATCACTATAATCTGTGTCTCTTGACTTGGATCTTTCTTTTGATCCATCAATCTTCTTTTGAGTCTTCCCTTGATCAAAACCCTTTACAGCTAGTATACTCCCCTTAGGTGAAGAGTTCTGAGCTTTCATAAACCTTTCATTCTCACGTAACAGGGTAATCACATCATCCAACTTCAAAGTAGACCTGCCCACCAACATAGTCTAAACTAAAAGCCTATAAGACTTGGGCAAAGATGATAGCAAAATTAAAGCCTTCTCTTCATCTTTTAACTCATCAACAGAAATTGCTAGCAATTGAGAAATCAATCTATTAAACTCATTCAAGTGATTATGAAGACTTATACCTTCTTCCATCTTCAGAGAATACAGATCCATCTTCAAACATAATCTATTAGTCAATGACTTCGAAGCATAAATACCTTCAAGCTTATCCCATAAATTTTTCGGAGTACTCTTAGTCAACACACTGTATTTTACCTCTGGAGATAGCGCTAATCTAATAGTACTAACAACTTTCTTATGAATCCTATTCCAATTAGCGTTAGACATTCTCTCAGGCTTACTATTCTCTAATGCCTGATCCAATCTTTATTGTACTAACAGATCTTGAACCGTACTTTACCATAACATAAAATTACTCTTTCCATCAAATAACGAAATCTCAAAGGCATAGGCATACCAGACATACCTTCTTCAGACATCTTGAAACACTACTTCGCGATATCTTGGGCTTACGATCCTTAAACCTCGAACCTCGCTGTGATACCACTTGTTGGGAAAAATATCACCCACACGTAGCAATCATACACAAAACAGCAAGCTCAAATCAAGAATAAGAACACAAATATATTTGGTTCGACCTAACTCAAAATGACCTACTCCAAACCTAATCCACTATCAAATAAATCTTTACAACTGTGAGACTTTTAGAATGAGAAAAGTCTCCTAAAACTCCTTACTCAAAACTTAACCCAAAACCCAATTACACCATTTTAATAGCTTACTCACTTAACTATTCTCTTAGTGACTAACTCTCTAGGATTACTAAACCAAAAACAAAACATCATATTTATAAATATGAAACCCCTTATACCTTTACTAAACTCTCAATATGGGATATAAGACAAACTCAAACTCACTTAACTTTCGATGTGGGATTCTGAGATTCAAGGCAAATCCTAACAAATTAATTGAGTTAAATGTTGAGAGATAAATTTTCAATTCATCAATAAAGACAAAATTACATGTAACATTAACAAAATCGATTGAAGTTTTACACATGGCGCAATTAAAATATAACAACAATAATAAGATGGTTGATCATCTTAATGGTGTTAACATTTTCATCCAAATAAGAGCTTAATTGAATGCAAATAGATATTGGAAGGATTAATTGATTACAATAAAAATAAGAATTTAAATAAGTTAAAATGGACGTTGATTTAGGCAGGGGAACATGTATACAATTCGGGCTGCAATGGATGTGTTGAACAAGAGAGGACTCACATCCATGTCTTTTGTGGTCTGTCTCTACAAGCATTAATCTTTCCTAAATCCAGAAACTCATTTTTCCTAACGAATACAGATATAGGTTAATGTTTTATATATTCAAACTATCTTAAACAGTCCTCTCTCATATTTTTCTCAATTTAAACTATCTTTAATTTTTCTCGAATCTATTCACTTTTTATATTTTCTCTTATAGTCTCAACACACATTCATCTGAGTATCCTTATCTTTGCTACACTCATTTTCTTCTCATATTGTTTTTTAACGGCTTAACAATCAATCTTATATAGTAATGTAGACCTTACAATTATTTTATACAATTTTGCCTTTAACTTGAAAAGCATGTTACAATCATACAACACATCTGGCGCACTTTGCCACCTCACCTATTTTGCTTGAATCCCATGATTTACATCACTGTCTACCTCAGCATTGCTTTAAAAAATGATCCCAAATATAAAAAATAACTACTCTGTAATACTACCTTACAATCCAACTTAATCACATTAATACTCGTTTTCTTATGACTACTAAGTTTACATTTCATATATTTAGTTTTACATCTACTCAATTTAAAGTCTCGAGACTCTAGCATATGCTTCCATAATTCTAATTTTGTATTAAGATCATCACTAATTTTAGCAACTAAGACTATATCATCCACTAATAACATACATCATGACACCTTATCTTGGATATGTCAATTGAGTTCATCCATAACTAATGTATAAATAAATGGATTTAGTGTTGATCCTTGATTCAATCATGAGGTAATAGGAAAGCTATCAATCAAGCCTTTAGACGTTCTCACATTTGTTATAACTTCATACATATCTTTAATTATATTAATGTACTTTAAAGGAATTCATTTCCACATTAAGGTCCACCCAAACACCTCTTGGAGAATTTTATTGTATATTTTTTTTAAGTCGATAAATACTATATGTAGATCTTTCTTACTCACCTGAAAACCTCCTAACAAAGGTCTCAATAGGTGAATTGCCTTTTTTATGGAGCATTATGGTTAGGGGTGAGTAAATGGTCAATTCGGTCGATTCGGTTTGAAAAAATCAATAACCGATTTAACCAACTTTCATTTAACAAATAACCGAACCGATCGAATATTATTAAATAACCGACCATAACCGAACCGACCAAA